GAAAGATGATCCTTCGGTTCTGTCCTGACACAGAAAGGTGATCCCCGGGTTCTGTCTTTGCACAGAAACGTGATCCTCCGGCTCTGTCTTTGCACAGAAAAGTGATCCTCCGATTCTGTCTTTACACAGAAAGATGATCCTCCAGTTCTGTCTTTACACAGACAAGTGATCCTCCGGGTCTGTCTTCACACAGAAAAGTGATCTTTCGGTTCTGTCTTTACACAGAAAGATGATCCTCCGGTTCTGTCTTTACACAGAAAGATGATCCTTCGGTTCTGTCCTGACACAGAAAGGTGATCCCCGGGTTCTGTCTTTACACAGAAACGTGATCCTCCGGCTCTGTCTTTGCACAGAAAAGTGATCCTTCGGTTGTGTCTTCACACAGAAAAGTGATCCTCTGGGTCTGTCTTTGCACAGAAAAGTGATTCTCTGGTTCTGTCTTTACACAGAAAAGTGATCCTCCGGTTCTATCTTTGCACAGAAAAGTGATCCTCCGGTGCTGTCTTTACACAGACAAGTTATCCTCCGGTTCTGTCTTTACACAAAAGATGATCCTTCGGTTCTGTCTTTTCACAGAAAAGTGATCCTTCGGTTCTGTCTTTACACAGAAGACTGAAGAGTGATCCTCCGGTTCCGTCTTTGCACAGAAAAGTGATCCTCCGCGGTTCTGTCTTTCCACAGAAAAGTGATCCTCCGGTTCTGTCTTTACACGGAAAAGTAATCCTCCGGTTCTGTCTTTACATGAAAAAGTTATCCTCCGGTTCTGTCTTTACACAGAAAGATGATCCTCCGGTTCTGTCTTTACACAAAACAAGTGATCATCCAGTTTTGTCTTTACACAGAAAGGTGATCCTCCGGTTCTGTCTTTACACAGAAAGATGATCCTCCCGTTTTGTCTTTACACAGAAAGATGATCCTCCGGTTCTGTCTTCACACAGAAAGACAATCCTCCGGTTCTGTCTTTCCACAGAAAGGTGATCCTCCGGTTGTGACTTTACACCGAAAAGTGATCCTCCGGTTCTGTCTTTACACAGAAAGATGATGCTCCGGTTCTGTCTCTACACAGAAAGATGATGCTCCGGTTCTGTCTTTACACAGAAAAGTGATCCTTCGGTTGTGTCTTTACACAGAAAAGTGATCCTCCGGTTCTGTCTTTACGCAGAAAAGTGATCCTCCGTTTTCTGTCTTTACACAAAAAAAAAGTGATCCTCCGGTTCTGTCTTCACACAGAGAGATGATCCTCCGGTTTTGTCTCTACACAGAAAGATGATCCTCCGGTTCTGTCTGTGCGCAGAAAGATGATCCTCCGGTTCTGTCTTTACGCAGAAAAGTGATCCTCCGGTTTTGTCTGTACACAGAAAAGTGATCCTCCGGTTTTTTGTCTTTACACAGAAAGATGATCCTCCGGTTCTGTCTTTACACAGAAAGATGATCCTCCCGTTTTGTCTTTACACAGAAAGATGATCCTCCGGTTTTGTCTTTGCGCAGAAAAATGATCCTCCGGTTCTGTCTCTACACAGAAAAGTGATCCTCCGGTTGTGTCTTCACACAGAGAGACGATCCTCCGGTTCTGTCTTTACACAGAAAGACCTTCCTCCGGTTCTGTCTTTAGACAGAGAGATGATCCTCCGGTTCTGTCTTTAGACAGAGAGATGATCCTCCGGTTGTGCCTTTACACAGCAAAGCGATCCTTCGGTTCTGTCTTTACACAGAAAGATGATCCTCCGGTTCTGTCTGTGCACAGAAAGATGATCCTCCGGTGCTGTCTTTACACAGAAAAGTGATCCTCCGGTTCTGTCTGTACACAGAAAAGTGATCCTCCGGTTCTGTCTTTACACAGAAAGATGATCCTCCGGTTCTGTCTTTACACAAAAAGATGATCCTCCAGTTCTGTCTTGACACAGAAAGATGATCCTCCGGTTCTGTTTGTACACAGAAAAGTGATCATCCGATTCTGTCTTTACATAGAAAAGTGATCCTCCGGCTCTGTCTTTACACAGAAAAGTGATCCTTCGGTTCTGTCTTAACACAGAAAAGTGATCCTCCGGTTCTGTCTTTACACAGAAAGGTGATCCTCCGGTTCTGTCTTTACACAGAAAGATGATCCTCCCGTTTTGTCTTTACACAGAAAGATGATCCTCCGGTTCTGTCTTCACACAGAAAGACAATCCTCCGGTTCTGTCTTTCCACAGAAAGGTGATCCTCCGGTTGTGACTTTACACCGAAAAGTGATCCTCCGGTTCTGTCTTTACACAGAAAGATGATGCTCCGGTTCTGTCTCTACACAGAAAGATGATGCTCCGGTTCTGTCTTTACACAGAAAAGTGATCCTTCGGTTCTGTCTTTACACCGAAAAGTGATCCTCCGGTTCTGTCTGTGCACAGAAAAGTGATCCTCCGGGGTTGTTTTTACACAGAAAGATGTTCCTCCGGTTCTGTCACTACACAGAAAAGTGATCCTCCGGTTGTGTCTTTACACAGAAAGATGATCCTCCGGTTTTGTCTTCACACAGAAAGATGATCCTCCGGTTCTGTCTCTACCTTGAGAATCCAACCTTGTACTTTGGACATCGTTTCTACAAATGGCAGGTTGCTAGTGCCGTTTGTTGTGAACCATGCCGTATGTAGCATCCTGCCATATCATCATATGTATGATGTAATTGCAGCTATATGGATGCAAAGGTGGTGTGCATTGCAATGGCAATATACCGACGTACTGCAATCATGTGAGTAGCAAAGCTGCAAAAGCAACTTTGGAGACATGGTCTTGCATCACTGTGGTGCATAGACTTGGCGTACGCACGTGGAAAAATATATTAACATATCAATATACTAATATATATATACACATATATGTATAAATATCTACCTATGTACCTATCTACCTATCTACCTATCTATCTATCTGTCTATCTCTTTATCTATCCATCCATCCATCCATCTATCTATCTACCTACTTACCTACCTATCTATATGTGTATATATATATACATAATTTCACCATGGGACCCCCAAACCCCAAAAAATAGACCCTTATTAAAAAATGGCTGGGTTAACCATGTTTGATACGAAAACTACAGGTTGACCGGTTTATTCCATGCATAGGAAAAGTTCCCGGTAGAACAAAATAAAATTCATAAGCCATAGTCGGGTTGATCGATCCAAACAACTCTTGGGAAATTACAGGGAGCACCATGCAAAAGTGCGCAACCAAAAAAAAGATTGCCAGCTGTCCTTTCCAGAGTATACCTGTTTGACTTAAATCATTTTTTGGTTGCCACAGGACAATGTGTTGTCATATCAAGTTTTTCTCAACTCAGACTCGGTACATATCACCCCAACAAATTTTATGCGAATGAGTGCCCCCAAGCACATTTTACAGGGTTATCAAAGTATACCCAAGAAAAGTTTCAACACCCTGGCGAACAGGGATTGGTTAAGCATGGGGATTGGTGGACTGCATGTTTCCCTGTGGTATAATTTCTTTGGGTGATAGTTACAATAACATAAGGGGCACCTACTGGCCAAAAAATCCACTGACACGCCAAAAACTAAAACCGTAAGTTCTTACCCTGCAGACTACTTCCCATTTTTTTGGGGTGGAACATGCAACCAACTCCAAACCCAAATGCACCCAAAGATTCAGGAATCGCAGTTTCATTTTGACATTGCCGGCCTCGCCGGCCAAAGTTTGTGTCTCACGCCACTGCGCGGGGGAACGCGTGGTTGGCAAGTATGCCAAGATGATTTTGGAGAAACACCTTTCTCGAAATTGTCGAGTTTGTTTCAAGCACAGGGTTGCCTTCAATTCAGCCACCTCATGGAAACACATTTTTTTGCAATTTGTACCATAAGGATCAAATAACATAAAATTATATATATATAAATTATATATTATAGAAAATTATGTTATTTGATCCTTATGGTAGGACATGCCCAAATTGAAGTACCAACGCCTTCTCTCATTCGAAGTGTTTCTCACTGCCGGTCATCCATGGAGATTGGAAGAACATTGGATGAACATTGACAAATACACTTCCAACAAGTATTTCAAACACTCGCATTAGGATACTGTAATCAGAAACAGCAAAATTACTGACGGTCAATGGTAGACGTGATGCTCATGCCAGCATGGCCAGGAGCACAGCGATGGGAAGGAATGTAATGTTGTAATCTGTCATTCTTTGTTTAAGGGTTTAAAATTATTGGCAAGAGATCGCCCTGCTCCTCGAATTCCGGTCGACTCATTCCCTTCAGTTGCCAATCCGCCTGAGGCCAGGAAGCTGGATGCGTTGGTGACTATGCGTGCCCCGGGGTACTACCGAGATGGATATATTCAGAACAAGTGAGTCATATATTGTTTGAATGGCACAACGTCGTTTTACTTGGGGTAATTTAAGGTACTGTATCTTCTAATCTTAGTTTGAATTACTTGAGAGGAACATGATGAAATCCATGTTTCAAGGGCCATTTCAAATCAACCTGACAATGCATCCCGCAAGCCGATTTGTTTTTTTGACCCGACTCCCCCGCCTCCTGTGTGGACATGGCTGCGGAGCTATTCAGTTTGGCCTCCGACATCGCTTGGCGATCAGTGAGTCAGGGACTGAGTCTGGACGTCCACAAAATATGGGTGATGTCATGTCATGTTGTAAATGTTCAGGTAAAACAAAACAACATATCTTAACCACATGTTTACTGTAAACATCTGTAAACGAACCTATCTCCTCTCATGGTTTTCTACAACTGGTGGCCAACCAGGAGCTGGGAGAAACATTGGATGGGAGCAACAAGAAGTTGCCCTTCGGCTTTTGTTCTTCTTATTTTTTGTTTTATGCCCACAGTCCTCCAAGAAACACGTCGCACACCCATCTATATATAGTTGTTTTTTGCTTCTGGTTGGAGTTTTGGTTTGACTGGAGTTTCATAGTTATGTCATAGTTGGGACAGGGTCGCCAAAAACAAATTGAGGACGCTTGCGCTCGGCAAATGGTTGCCCACATGCCCATTCCCTTGCTCACGCTGATCAGCGGGGAGTCATGGAAGGGAGGGCCTTTGCTAGACCTATCTGAGAGCAAGGGGGTTAAGACTTGCACTGCGCGAGAGGTGAGCAAGAACTTCACCTTTATCAAGCCTGTGGTGATGGAGATCCCGCACAAGGCCCAATGTTCCAGAACCTTGTAACAATTGTGGCGTCAGAGAATCTTCCACAGTTCTAGCCTTGAGAGAATCCCCCAAGAACCTGTTCATCAATATAGTAGCCTTGAAAGAATCGTCCAAGAACCTGTTCTCAATTGTAGCCTTCATCATTTGAGATAATCTTCCAAGAACCGGTTCATCAGTTGTAGATTGAATGAGTGCTGTCACGAAGTGAGAGCATTATCTTTAGAAGAACAGTGCAAAATTTTCAACAAAAGTTTTGCAACTCAGTATGAAACAGTTTACTTTTCAATCCGGGTATCTTGCATGTTCACTTGGTTTGTTCTGCAATTGGCTGACTATTTTGACCTATTTTTGGAGCTTCCTTTTGCTTTGGACCTCTGGAAACTTTTCAAACCTTGAGCAACATTTAACATGTCCCTTGGTACCACATCTGAATATATATTCGTGTGGCATTTTACATATCAAGGGTGAGGTAGGGAAGGGTTAAAAAAAAAAAATTTCTTCCACCAGCCAACTCTCTTTCACCTGAGTTTGTTCTATATTATATAATATAAGATGAACCTTGCAAGAACCTGTTCATCATTGTTTGAAAGATTCTTCCAAGAACGTGTTCATCAGTTTTTGCTTTGAGAGAATTTCCCAAGATCCTGTTCATCACGCGAAAAATCTTCCAAGAACCTTTACATCAGGTTTAGCTTGATAGAATCTTCTATACCTGTTCATGACTTAAGGGAATCTTCCAAGAACCTGTTCATCAATTGTAGCCTGACAAAAACATTACAGGAACCTGTTCCAGAACTTATTCACCCGTGAGAGAAGTTTCACAAACCTGTTCAGCACGTGTAGCCTTTGGGAACCTTCCCGGAACCATTCCAGCTCATGTGCACCCTGTAGGTACCATCAGCATACTTCCTGACTGATGTTTTCATCGCCCTTCACAAGCTCATGGACGGAAAGCTGCTGAAGCCGCAGAACAAGAACGAGTCAGTCATGACACTGGCAGGTTTGGAAGGGCTCAAGCTCAAGAAACTGATTGGTGCGTTGCGGGCCTTGTGGCGCAGCTCGCGGGTTTCAGGTTTTGACGACCGTGTGACAGAGTTGAAGGGATACCTGAGACCGTCTCCTGGTGATCCTGAAGACGATGAGGGTGATGGACAGCCTGATGTTCATCCCGACGCTGAATGCGATCGGGAGTCCCTTGATGGTGAAGGAGATGACCCGATGGACGAGCCCCAGACTGATGGTGAAGGTGATGACCCGGTTGAGGAATGCATGTCTCATGAAGGTGATGACCCGATTGAGGAGTTTGAGTGCAAGTCCCATGGTGAAGGTGATGACCCGATTGAGGCCCACTCCAGTGACTCCAGTGATGAAAGTGATGGCTCAGCTGATGAGAATCTTCCCCCCTTGATGAATGGCAAGGATTCTGTGCCGGGTGACCGTGCTTCAAGCCCTGAGCCTCATGCTGTTCCTGCCCAGGTTGCAGAAACTAACAGCAGTCAGGACAGCCTTCTGGCACCAACCCTGAAGCTTGGCGCGTCTGATTCTGAATCCAACTCTCCGACTTCCCCAGAGGAGGTTCCTTCGAGCCAGCCTGAAAGCGAGTTCCAGTGTAGTCAAGTCTCATCAGGGTGGCTTGGAAAAGCATACAACCTGTACAACCGGTTGGACAAGGAAGAGAAGAAGGAGAAGACCATGCAAAAGCTTTTGCAAGACATCCGCAATGACCTTGAGAATGAAGCGGGTGCGACTTTCCAGGACGATGACATGATGTACAAGGAGTATGAAAAGTGGTGCCGTGCTTCTTTGGAGGACTATGGCGACCATGTCTACGGCCATTTGGCATCATGGAGCACTTACAACAATTGGGTTCGTTCCCAGAAGGACGGACGGGCATCTGTTTGCTGTTTGGGAGGGTTTGAAAAAGTTTTGCTCCCAAAGCACAACCATTTTCATACTGAGTTTTACTGGTAGGCGGGGTTTCATCTGATGGTAAGTTTCTTATCTTCCCATCCCTTAAGCAATTAGTTTTCTGAAAGCACCCCCTTTGCTGCAGGCAACCCCTGCACCCCTGCAGCCACTCCAGATGACAAGAGCGCTTCGGAGGTGCTATACTGCCGAAGTTTCCATGAAACCACCAAAGCAAATAATGACACCATATTAAATTTAAGTGCTGCATCCAATCTTCCACTTTCCATGACCCTGACGGGTGGGAGTCAAAAGTATCAAACCTAAAACATGTATGGCTACCCAGAACAAGCTTGTAAATTTCCCCTTGGTTTAGACCTTGCCAAATGGACCCCCCCAAGTCTGGGAAAGTCGCATTATTTCCTGTGTTTTGGCGCCAATTTTTGGGACTTGGTGGGGTCCATTTTGGGGGGTCCCAAACAAGCAACTGGTGGTGTCCCGATTCTATGGCCTGCGTAATGTCAACTTACTATTGTACCCCTTGGTATCCCAATTTTATGACCCGCAATTTGCCAACTTACAGTTGTATCCCTTTGCATGCTTGCATCGTTGCAGGTGCCCCAGAAGAAGCCTTTGAACAAGGCTTTGCGCATGATGGACTTGAAGGAGACAGTTGATGAGTCCCGGGACCCCGGTCGGGCCCCTCCTTGCAAGCGTCCCCGTCAAACTGATCAAGTTGTTGCAGACCTTGGGTCGCCGGCTGTTGTGGGGGACCAAACAGTGTCTTGCTCAAATGCAAAATGTTGAAAGATCACACGCACACACACTCACATATCTATATATATATATACACACTCACCTCTGTTACATACAGAGATGCATACATTGCCCTGTAATGTCCTGTATTTGTCACAAGTACACCTTATAAAAAATGGTAAAGCGGGCAAAACATATACCTTAAGAGTAGTTTATGCATCATTTGTATCTGTTTGGGAATTTATGTCACTTTTTACTGGGCTCCATAATTCATGAAATCGAACATCCACTTATCTCAGGCCAAGAAGATGACACTGTTGAAGGCCAAGGACAAGGGCGCAGCGGATGTGCCAAGTGAATCAGGGGATGTCTTGAGCAAATTCCGTGACTACGACCTTGACATGCTTGGCCTCCCTCACTCAGCCCGCCCACGGGCAAATCAAGTGTATGCGGGAAAGCATGGTTACACACTTCGCAGCTCCAAAGGGGGGGTCCCTTTGTCTTGAAAAAATCCAGAACTTTTGAATTCCATTCGACAATCTTTGAATGACAAGCCTCAAAATTTAGGGGGGCCAAAAGGGTTTGAGACATACCTTTATATATATAAATATGTATATACAATATATGCATATTGTATTTAATTCATATAATAACAATATCTATATATATATATATTGTCATTTGTATGTATATATATATAGTATAAATATATCATTAATATTTTTTAAGAAAACAGTATACATATATTTCATGTGCATATATGTATATAAATATATAAACATTCAGCATATATAGTAATGTTATATCTAATAAATCTATATCTATGAATTTATATATATATACATATATATATGTATATATATTTGACAGTTCAGGACCCCTTCAGCCCATGTCTTTCCTGGTCCCACAAACTCCTCTCGCGGGGCCCAGGCGATCGAAGTGCTTCTCAAAGCCAGAGCCTACGTGGTGAAGCGTTCGGATGAGGCAAAGGCAGCTGAGCGCAATTGTCTTGGACAGGTGACGTGGAGTAAATATGGAGGACCCTCCAAAGCATGGGGTGTCGCAGCTGCTCGTGCGGGGTTCAACGGGGTTGAAGGCCAAAAGATGTCTTAGAGCTGGGTCTTGGTTCCGGCAGGGGTCAATGCCAATCAAACGGATCTTAGCATGTCAGAACGTTCCACATATAATCACTGGAGCATTTTCGGGTTTAAACCCTTTGTCTTTCCCGTGTTGGCATTGCAAGCCGTGAGTTTTGCGGGGTATCTGCAAATCACTGCCCTCTTAGATCTTGGGGGTAGGGTTTGCAACTACAAGTCATTTAGGCCAACTTCGGTGGAGGAACACCGCAGCGACAAAGCACGAAAGATTGCTGGGCGGATTCCGTCAGGGATTGGGTAATGACATGACCCTTTCAAAATAAACAATCTTCAAATCTTAAACAATGATCTTTTCAAGCCCATTGGCATGATACTTTCGAGATCAACAATCCTGAGTGATGATGATTCTAATTTTCCTGCTGGTTTGGCACCCCAAAAATCTGACCCCCACAACTCTACCCTCAGTAACCTTTTTCCTACAGGTTTGCTACACGTTTAGCTGGTTGTGGGGGTCAGATTTTGGGGTGCCAAACATATAGGAAAATTGTTAGATGATGACTTTCCCAAATTCATTATGGTTTGGCAATCTCTTTTGGTATCATCACCTAAAGAGCAGTGGCCCTTGAATCCCGATGATCTTCGAACGTGAATATTTAGTCCATGTGTTGATGCCCACTCTCCAGGTACGTAGTGGAGGTCTGCATTGGGTTAAAACCAAAGAAGGACATGCTGCTGGGGGTGTGTCCGTGTGTCTGTGCGTGGGATTACTCTCTTATTTCTAACCCAGAAAGATCTGCAAGGATTTTGGGGCTCGAGGCCATAGAAGACCTGTGCTGGATTTGTTTTCCCAGTCCCCATGGGTAAACAGCATGGTGGAAAGAAGTCGCTGAAAGCCCTCAAAAAGGATTTGCCTTTCAAGGCAGAGGATTGCCCAGGGCCACAGCCACTCCCGCGAAACATGAAGGCGAAGCAGCGAGCCTACATCATGGCTGGGTTGAAACACCTTGGAGCGCCGATTGCACCATGATTGGATTCATGGGGTAGCCCTCAAAAACAAAGGTTTTTATATACATATATCTATCTATCTATCTATCTACCTAACTATCTATCTATCTGTCTGTCTATCTATCTATCTATCCATCTATCTATCTATCTATCTTTCTATCTATCTATCTATCTACCTAACTATCTATCTATCTGTCTGTCTATCTATCTATCTATCTATCTATCTATCTATCTATCCATCTATCTATCTATCTATCCATCTATCTATCTATCTATCTATCTATCTTTCTATCTATCTATCTATCTATCTATCTATCTATCTATCTATATGTATATAGATATAGATATAGAGATAGATATAGATATAGCTATAGATAGATATACATATATATATATAGATATAGATAGATAGTAAGTATACAGGATGTTCCCAACAGTATGATGGCCTACCTATGTTCAGGCTATTACTTTATGGTATGGTTTTCAGCTGGGGGACCTAGGCCATTGCGACGCTGGTGTCGCTTCTCTTTGCGGTGCCGGGGTTGGATTGGGATTCCCCAATTCAACACTTTGAGACATTCTCTGGACAAATGGAAGTCACCAAGGCTGAATGGCGTGTTTCTGGACTGGAATTGAATCCCATGCAGCGTTGTTGTTATTCATTGCGCAAAACCTACAACCCCCAAAAGCATTGAAGCAGGCGTCCAGGTACCCCATGATTTGTTGTTTGGGCCCAATCAATTCTAGACCACAATATGGGGCTATCAATTTTGCGGGGTCCCACAAAAAGGATTTTGTGACAGGGAATCCACAAAAAATGGTTTATCAAATGATGCCTTACATGTTTGGGGGTCGTTGATATTTAGGCTGGCCGTGCTGCCCAGCCTTTTGATGTGGAGTTGGATTCAGTGAATATGGATTTGACCTCAAGCATTGGGTTTTCGAATGCGCTTTACTATGCGGCCAACCTGGAACCGGGCAGTGGCCACACCTCTGCGCCGGTTTGTTCCACATTTGTTTTCATGACCCTTATCTTAGTTCAGTTGTCTTTGCAGGGGTAAAGCTTTTAGTTTGTTTTTACCATTATCCCACATTTTCTGGTGGCTCTGGTTTTGAAAGGGTTCCACCCTGATTTGAGACCCTTTTCAACCTGAGTTTCCCTGCTACTCCAAGGTCTCGTGGATCGACGTGGAGGAGCAAAGTCAATCCTCTTGGCCGACGGGACAGTGTGGCAGTCCAGGTTGGAAACTTGCTATGCGCAAGAGCCCTGGTGTTGATATTAATCATAGCTGCTAAAGGATGTTTCTGGGTTCTTGAACAGCCGGGCACGAGCGTGATGGAACTACATCCACTCTTCCAAGCCCTCCTTCGACTTCTCCCTGGGGTGGTGAAAAAGACCATCAATATGAGTTCCTTTGGGGCTCCCACAAAGAAGAGAACTCTTTTGTATTCGAGCAACTTTGCTTTCAAGAATCCTTTTGGGGATTGGACCATGTATACAATGTACAAGCTTCCTGTGTTTAGCCATTACCATACTCTATAAATACGACTACATTCATACCTACATAAGAAAACAATATGATATATCCAAAGCATCTAAAAGTCTATATCAATCCATCCAGAGCTACTGCAAGGTCATCGAGCAATCGACAGCATCGACGACTTCAAGGTTCCAGAGAGGCTTGAGGAAAGGCAGATGGTTGTCCGCTACAGGAATGCGAAAGGAGAAGCTAGATGCCACGGAGGGAGTGATCTTAAAGGTTCACAAGCATATCCACGGGCGTTTCTCGATTGAAACACGTTCACTAAATCAAGTTTTGATGTATTGTGTTGTGTGTGATGGCTAGGTTCAACAGAGTTTTCTCAATATCCATTCGTTTAGGACAGTTCGGGAACACCAAGCCAACTATGGGCATAGTTTGTCATTTTAGCCCACGACACATCTTTTCGGGCACTTCCTGACCCCTTCCGGTCTGCCAGCGGCCTCGCTGCAGTTTTGGCGACGCCCTCTCGAAGTGCAGAACCTTGCATGCGAAGAAGATCACTCGAAAAGCTAAGGCTTTCTTAAAGAAGGCACGTGCTACCAGCAACGACTTTGATATGAGACCTCGCAAAAACCGTGCATGGGTTACCCAGGCTTGCCTGCAACCTGTGATGGAGTTTCTAGCTGGCAAGTAAAATACTTTGCCTACATACAATGCAAATTCAAAACCATTGGATTCCCAGTGGTGGTCGGGGCCTGCTTAGACCTGCTTAGATGATTTCAACCCAAGGGTCAAAGCAACCACAGAGCAACAAAGGGAAAAGGGACCACATGAATGGGGTGGCAAGCCTCATAACATGTCACAGCTGGCACATTGTTTGGAAAGTTAAATCACTAGTTGCAACAGTCTCCTTTCCAAGTCGTGGTACACCCACTGCGTTTCCATGTCTAAGATCCTTCACAGAATTATCAACCCTTGCCAAGCTTCTTTGGTTGAACATCAGAGTTTAGCTGCTTCAACCCCGCAGGACACCCATGCCCCGCCTTGTTTTGAAGAGAGCTCTCGGCAAATCTCGCCTGTTTGCAGCCAGAATTGTTCGGGATGGGTGGCAGACTATCTGGTTCAGATCGATTTACAAAAAAATCATGCCAAAAGCATCCAAATGCACTCGTGCGCTTTGGAGAGAGAAACGTGCGCAAAACTGCGAAACAATGCGCCTAGTAGTTTTGCATTTTTTCCACCATGTTGGAGCCATCGAGATTTTTGATATTGTTTTTGAACTCACTGGGTTTGCAATCTTACACGTGCGAATTGCAGCAGGATCACAGGTTTCCAAACCAGTTTTTCCAAAAAGTTGCCATGGACAAGGCACCGTCGAAACGTCACAGGAGTAAGTCAGCTCCAGAGACAGAGTCCAAGACCAAGAGGCCATCTGCCTTGAGGAAGCCAACAGTTTCGTCTTCTACCCCTGCTGAAAGACTTCAGAAGTACTTAGCAGAGAAGAAATTGAAAGACCGCGCAAGTTCTGCAACCTCCAAGGCTTCGTCAAGGGGTGCTTCGAGATCTTCGAAGAAGGACGCTTTGAAGAAACATGAAAAGAAGGAGAAGAAGGAGAAGAAGGACGTCAAGAAGAAAGTGTCGGGAGGTAAAGCTGTCCCGGTGATGAAAGTCAACAAGGGTGACAAGTTTGAGAAGTCGAAGTCAAAGAGCATGTCCAAAGAGGACAAGAAGAAGGCTGCTGTCAAGGAACAGAAGAAAGGTAAAGATGTGAAGAAAGGCGAGAGGGAATGTTCCAGAAAGACAAAGGAGGATAAGAAGGTCAAGGAGGATGAGGGAAGGAAAGCTGAGACCAAAGAAAAGGATGGTAGAAAGAACCAGACAACTGAGACCGAGAAGAAGCCAGATCAGCCAGGTACCATAGACAAGAAGACGAAGGGTGAGGCGAAGGATACAAGCAATAAGAAAAAGGGCGAGGAAAAGATCAAGTTCGTTCCAAGCCAAAAGAAGAAGGTTGAACACATCTTCCACACTCCGCCTGCAAAGGCTTCTCATTCCCCTGCTTCTGCTTCGAGCTTGACTTCAAAGCAGCGAGCTGAGATGCACCTCCGTTCCCTTGGAGACCTGCTTCAGGCTTCTGATGACGATTCAGTGTCGGCAACCGATATGGACGAGTTTCTCTCTGAAATCGCCACTCAGGGCAAAAAGGCAGCTGCAGATGAGGCAAAGGAAGACAAGGATCCACAGGAGGTTGAAAAGGCAAAGGAGAGCAAAGATAAGGAAGAGTCAAGTGATGTTAGCTCCAACGATGGAGATGAAAGTGAAGGTGGTGAGGATGAAGAAAGTGAGGAGGAATCTCCAGACAAGGACGATGTTTCCTCGGACCTCGACAGTGACGAAAAGGTGGGATCGGGGGATGATCTTGAGGAAGATGAGGAAGATGAGGAAGATGAAGACGACGAAGGAGAAGATAAAGATGATGATGAAGAGAGTGCTGAAGATGAAGTGACAAAAGATGAGAAGGAAGTGGAGAAGAAACCGGAGGAGGAAGGAGAGGACAAAGACAAGGCACCTGCCACCGAAGCATGCCACGCTTTGGTGCCTGCTACTGCAGGAGCTGCTGAGGCAACCAATGCCTTGCGAAATTCAACCACCAACAAGAGAGAGTGGGACGCGTTCTGCCGTCAGCTCAAGAGTGGCAACAAGATCCCATGCCAAGTTTCAGAGTATGCGCAAAATGCTGCAAACAAGACCTGCCTTTTTGGCATGTGGCTTGACTCTGGGAAGGACTGGAACCAATGCTCACTCACTTTGGAAAGGACGCTGAAGCAGAAGAACGAATCAGAAAAAGGCTGGTGCGCAGTTCAAGGTCGAGAACTGAAAAAAAAGTATGAAGGAAACCCCGAAAAGTACCAGAAGTTGGTTGAAAGCAGGAAAAAATCCGGGTTATGGTATCCGGACGACGACTTTCCGGATGATGATGAAGAGCCTAGATTTATTTATGGAAAATACCCCAAAGACCCATCAAAGGTTTCAATACAGGGCCTAGTCTCATTATTCATGGAAGAATATGTCCACAAGAGCTATCAAAAGTTTAAACAACAGAAAAGATATGACTATATCCAAAAGAGCTATCAACAGTTTAAACAACAAAAAAGAAATGACTATTTGCCACGAAGGTGGTCTGTTCTTGACACTCACAACCCTTTCACTGCCTGCATATGCCTGCACTAAGGAAGCTTGGTTTTTCATGCGGGTTGGCAACTCTTTCAAGCGAAAAGACATCACAGAGGAGTCCATGAAGTTGAAAGGATCCATGGATGTCGACCCTTCCCTCCGTGAAGCCCTGACAGATGCCGATGAGGGCATTTTCAGGCCTGGGGCTCTTCCAAAGATGCAGACTTCGTCCACCAACGGCAACAAGCTGCTCCTGGATGCTGTGGAGAAGGCCAGGGCATGTGGTTGGCATGTGGTTGGGACCAGGGCCCGCACTTGCAACTGCTTAACTACCCAAGGGCAAATGCATTATGTCAGATTTCTCTTGGGTTACCATGGATACCCCATATTCTCACTTGAGATTGCTCACACTCCATCCAAACACCCTCTCATGCAGGTGGTTGCAGCACCAAAAAAAAAGGCGAAGGACAAGGAGAATGCTGACAAAGCTCCAGCAGAGGAGGTTGTACCACAGACTTGGGAAGAGAAAGCGAAGGATATCATGGGAGAGTTACTTTCTGACGCTGCAAAGGCCAGAACTGAGTCCATCAAGCTTTCCAATGTTCCGTATGCCAAGGAATTGTCAGATCAGATGCTGCAACATGCAGCAAAGTTGGAAGGTTTCTACAAAGAGATCGAGAATAATGTCGCTCATGGGGCAGGGGAGAAAGAGTTCAAGTCCTTGATGAAGAACGTCATTGAAGCCACCGCATTCACGGCCAAAGCTCAGGCCTGGGGGGACAGCTGTCAATCTTTAAAAAGGGGTGCAGTGTATTGATCTGTGTGTGTGGGATGTGATATCTAAAGAATATGCGGCTTAAAACTATCTTTATGTCAATAAGATATAGAATAGGTATGAAGCGCAATATACATATATACAATTGTATTTACACATATGCATATGCATATGCATATATATATATATATATGCATGTATGCATGCATACATACACACACGCACACACATACATATATATATATATATGTTTACATATATACATACATACATACATACATGCATACATGCATACCGGTATGTATTTGTATATAAGTATATTTACAAATATATGTATTTATATGTATTTTTATTTACATACATAAAACATGTATGTACATATATTCACACACACACACGTATGCATATAAATATATATATATATATATGATTGGTTTCCTAACCAGGATCATCGCCCCAAACAACAACCCTTCTTTGGGATCTTCTTGACCGAAAAAAGATTCACCTTATTCGTCAATGGGTTCTCACCTAAAATCCCCAAGTTTTGTCAATAGCATCTCACCGAACAACAACCCTTCTTTGGACATCTTGAGTGGTCACTTGATACCCAGGCAGCATCTGCAGCCTTGCTGAAGCCACCTTCGAAGTCCAAGTCCAAAAAGTCCAGTGGCAGCAAAGCCAAGAAGACTAAAAAAACCAAATGAGCCGTGAGTTTCAGAAATCCTTTTTGGTTTCTTGAATGAGCTATGTCATTCAGGGGTTAGGTACAAGTGCTACCACTTGTGGCCATGTAGTTACTTCTGTGGCCCCTTAGAGCAACCGGTGACAAATGGCACATTCCAAATTCAAAGTGTGAAGCTTTTGATTCATGCCTATGTGGTTGCGCGGGGTCATGGGACAGGCAGTGTGCGAGCAACCGGCCAGCAATGTTCAAAAAGTTTGTTGGGCAAAGCTATCATCCACCAAAACATTACCCTTTGTTTGAATATAATCTTACAATCAAGTCCACCCATGGGCGTGCTTGGGAACATAGGTATATGTAGATTTTGGTATTGAGCGATCCAAATTCTATTTGTTGTTTGATTTGGCAACCACTGTTTTGATTCCCCCATAAATCTGAATGGCACCCTGCGTCCTGGGCAGCTGCGGCCAGGCATCCCGACTGCTGAATCGTTTTCTAGGCGCCTTCAGGGAAGGGCCGGCCACGAGCTCTAGTATGGGTGTGTGTGTGTAAGCCATGAACAATCTAAGAATCCAGAACCATTAGATTGATGGTGTGATTGATGCCAAATCTTTTGAAAGTCGTTTTCCCTTGCAGGAAACGCCAGAGACTGGAAGACTACCCTGAGTCAAAAACTGTGCACAAGCTTGCCGACTTGATTGGACGAGGGAAATTGTCTGTTTGTGGAGCAGCGGAGTTGGCATCTACTATAGTTTCTTGTTTGGATTATGTAGCAAAATTAGATGGCTACCTATGCTAACGATGATGTGCCAACCATGATGTAGCAACTGCAGGAGTTGCCCAGCCGGCCTTCAGCCCAGGTTGAAGATCACAAGGAGCTCCCACATCCTGCCATCCGGGCATTCTCAAGCTTGGGCGCAAACGCTGAATATGGGGGCAACATGGAGAGGGACCTTCACCGGTGGCTTCGTGGCCTTTACAGTTTCAAACTCCAATCGTACACCATTCACCTCGACCTCCAGGTTACTATGTTGGCCAAAAAAACACCACTGAACAAATCCTGTTGAATGATCTGGGTGTCAATTTATCTTGAGAAGGTGTGGTACTTCCCCATGGTTTCTTTGGGTTTCAAGAATGTGTTGGAACATGTTGTGATTCCCATGAATACGTTGGATTTCAAAAAGATGATGAGATTTAATGTAACACCCCAAAAACACCACTGAACAAATCCTGTTGAATGATCTGGGTGTCAATTTATCTTGAGAAGGTGTGGTACTTCCCCATGGTTTCTTTGGGTTTCAAGAATGTGTTGGAACATGTTGTGATTCCCATGAATACGTTGGATTTCAAAAAGATGATGAAATTTAATGTAACACCCCATGGATTTTATCATATCCAAGATATCTGCCAGGTAAGCGGGAAAACGCCAAAGCGGACACCTGTCAAAGTTCTGTTGCCGCATGAAGTTCTTGATTGCCTAGCATCCTGTTGCCCACCACATGCGTTCAGTTCAATTCTTCTGGGGAACTTGGATGGTCCAGCTCGTCGAAGATTCTTTGAACACATAAAAACTTGTGATGCATGGAGGGATCACCCTGTCCTTTGCCAACAGGGGGTTGATTATACCAATCACATTGCACTGCGATGGTGCACAGTTTTACCGGGATGATGAGAACTTCGTTTGGTCATTTGGATCAGCTTTCGGTAGCACAGGGAGCATCAAGGATGTCCTACTCACCAAATTTCCCATTGCAATAATCCCAGAACGGTTCATGCAAGATCACACAGTTTCTGGGTGAATTGAAACAACGCTTTTTATTTTTGGATGTTTTTCAAACAAGGAGTTTGCATTTTGAGGGGGTTAAAGATATCTGTTTGGTTCTTAAGGTGTTGCCCTTTACGGCCCACATGATCTCCAGGTTCGTCAGGAAGTCAACAAAGCGATTGCCCAACTCACTGCTTGGTCCTTGTCTATCGCAGCAGAAGGCACAGCACCTCAGGTTGGTTTCTACCAAGAGATGTTCGACAAGGGATCTTACCGTTTTGGCATGAGGGGAAAGCAGCTAGCGAAGAGTTGGAAGAATCTTAGGTTATGAGTTAAGATTCAAGTGTTTTCCAATCTGGACGTGTTGATTTAGTTTTCAGATTTTTACCCGAAGCTTATCCACCATTCACCAAGCCCATGGGGATGTCAGTAGAAACTTTTATGAAAGCAATGTCTCCATGATTCAGGGCCTGCTATTTCGCGATGAAGGCCGATCTGAAAGCACGTGTTTATGCGCACAATCTGCAGAGAAATTACCAGTGCAATTTGAACCTTCACTTTGTTAGAAATGTTTTATTCTTTTTTGGTGCCAGCAAGCCCCACAACTGTCCAATGATGTCTACACACAATGCCATGCTCCTACTTCTCAGGATGTGCGACCGATGCCTAGCCCGCCAAGGGAAGGGGGCACCACTGGCTATGCATTACAAAAACTTCTCCGACAACAAGGCTTGGCCTCTGACCATATTGTCCCACGAGGGATATCTCCATTTCGATCAGTTCAGCTTGACCCCCTGGCTGGTGGTTCCAGGGTTCAAGATGGAGACAATGACATGGGATTTGCTACACAACATTTATCTGGGAACTGCCAGGGATCTTGTTGGGTCTGGATTGAAAACGTTGGTGATGCGTGGTTGCTATGATTACCTGGGGGAAGGGCTTGACATGGACACCATCCTCTCCCACGTCGATGCAAAAATTCGGAGGGATTGTTCGAGATACAAGTTTCTAGCTTTCGGGGTTCAGAGACGAGAAATGTGTTTAAAATTTGGTATACTTTTGGTCGACTCCCCAAAGATTTTGATATAACTCTGGCTCTCATAGTTATCATTATTTGTTTCCTATTTTGGTATGATAGATTCAACTGCACGAAAAATTATTCCCTGAAATCTTGAAATCATTATTGTGCACATTTCGTGCTACATCTGAGGTTGGGTTTGCCTGCAAAGCCACAAATCAACCTGCACAGCCTCAGAGGAGATGATGACTACACTGAATTGTCCTCCCGATTCAAGGGGTCATCTGTGAAGATCCTTGTTTGGTGGCTCGCTCTGGAAACCCAAAGGCAGTCCGATGAACGGGGCAATGAGCCTTTGAAACTCCAATAGATCATTTTTTTGTACCAACCCATTTTTCAGAGATGACATTCCAATTCACAAGGCGCCCATACCAAACAATCTTGAACTCAGTTTCATTTTATGGGATGAATTACTATTTTTCCTCCAGTTCATGGGTTCATGGCATACATCTTTCGTGCAAGGACCGGATCCTAAACATCTTGGCTGTGTGTGCCTACCACCTCCAGCGGTTCATCGAGGTGCTTGACACTGCGGGCCTCGTTCTGGATGAGGATGAGGCCACAGAAGCTTCCAGCTGCCTGCAGATCCATCTGAAATCTTATGCGGTTTTAGCTGAACACTACTTCAAGCTGAGGATCATGATGTACAAGATACGGTGTAAAAGCCACTATCTAGACCATGTAGCCCTGGAAGTCAAGGTTTGCCGTGTAAATCAGAATCTGTTTCACACCTTCCAAGAGGAGTCTTTTTTAGGAAAGATCAAAGCTATAGGTGTCCGCTGTCATGGAAGGTCATGCACCCACAGGTTGTTCCAAAGATATTTTTTGTGTCTCGCGATTTTCCTGGAAGAATATCGCAAAGTTGACATGGAATGAGAAAACTGAAACACTATGCATGGCTCCCACGTTCAAAATGTTCAAAAAAAATCTTGTGGAGTTGGACTCATTCCATTTCAGAACCTTTTGGCCTTTTTGGCCTCTTAGGGTTGGGGCATGTTAGCAAGCTGCTAAAGACAGGCGCGCCTGAACCAACATGACATGCAGGCCCCATAGGCGGCTAAAAGCAAAGGTATGTGGTGGTTGTTGTT